TCTCTAGCCCCATCCACTCTTATTCTTTTAAAATTGCATATATGTCATCAAACCTACAGACGTGACTTCAATTCCTAGAAGCCACACAGTGAAATGAGATAATTGACTCAGCATACGTTGTCTTTTGACCTCCGCACTCATGCTGAGACCACACCAGTGTGCACACATATACTAAATAAGCAAGTAAGTAAACAAATGTTAAAAGGGATGTGTTAACTACTCAAGAAGCTAGATGACTCCTGTGTCCTCTATTTTACTACACTGGTCTACAGGCTTGTTTCCATGTCAATACTAAGTTGCTTTTGTTATTGTGGCTTTGTGGTATAATTTCAGGTTGGTTATTTCGCTCTCTTTGTCACTACCCTTTCTGCTACTTATAGATTTAGCTATCCATTCACTCTATAATTCCATATAATTGTTGGGATTCATTTTACTAGCCTTGTGTTGTAAGCCATTGGTCAATCTCAATCTGTAGATTCTTTTCAGACTCAATGAAAACCAAGAATCTTCCAAACCCCAAAGCATTCATTAGTAAAGATTAACATAGAAGTTCACTTAAAATTTAAGTAAAATGACAATAAGTAGAATCCATCAAAGAGTTGATTCTTGGAAAAAATAGACAAGATTAACAAACCAGCCCAAGAAAGAGGGAGATAACCCAAGATGGTCAAATGAGAGATGAGAAGGGGGTTAGTTGATAGAGTCCAGGTAAAGAGAGTATAAGTACTTCAAAAACTCATATTCTAAACACCTGAGATATTCAGAATAGATTGGTAATGCTTAGATATATATGGCTTGCCAAAATTAAGTCAAGAAAATGTAAGTATTTAAGTAGATAAACAACAGTTAAGAAGAATGAACTCGTCTTAAGAAGTCAGGTAGGAAAAGGAAGTTCTCTTGAGAGAAGAGTTAAGACCACAGGCCCCACACTGCTTCACAACATAAGAAAGGTGGGAGCACAACCAATCCCATTCTATGAAGTCAGTATTAGTCTTATAACAAACTAGTATAGGCACACACAGATTATAGACCATGGTTTTTGTTTAGGAGCAATTTTTGTTTGAAATGGAGATGTATTGTTAGATTATTAATTTGAGATCTGTCTGAAATCAAAACCATTCTAAATCTTATAGAATGTTAAAGTGGAATAACTAGTCAAATATGCATTCATTTCAAAACTCATTATGTAAGGTAGCTGGGCAATTTTCAAAGAAAAGAAGTTTTTGTATATCAAACTTACACTCACTTGAACAAGTAATTGCTGGCAAGTGAATAGTAATCTCTATTGTTTCAAAGGGTAGAATCAATAGACAAATTCAGTGAAACTCTTTGCTGTTTAGGAAGAAATAAATAATAGATATTTTTGATTTTTTTCTTTTTGTTTCTTCCTACCCACTATCATACTGATTACCATTCTTTGTTTTGCAGTAGAAAAACAGATTTTTTTTGTTTACTTTTTATCAAACAAAACCTGATAGCTGAAGGTAAGTTGCTTTTAGGATTAAAGCAAAGGCTGATAACTACTGAAGTAAGATGGCTTGGATATGAGGCATTTACTAGGTGGAGTACGTCATACACAGAACTGCAAGTACTGTACAACTACACTGCAGGAAGCATCTGAAATACACTGTCAGCGTGGGGAATGGAAGCTTCCAGAGCTAAAAGCATCAGAGGTGAGGAGCCCCCGACAGAGTAATGACAATGACATGGTAGTGAAACAAGACAAATCAGCTCAGAGGCCCACACTACAGTGTGTCCAACACTGTACTCAACAGCACTGTACTGTAAGATTAGCAGTGTGCTGAAGGTAAAGTCTCATGTTTACTGTTCTGATGACAACAAAATGTAACCAAGATTCTGAGGAATGAAGTGGTTCCAGTGCAGAACTGGAGCTCCCAGTGGTTAGATGCCCAGCTTCAATGCCAGCCTGGGCTATATAATATATCCAGGCAACCAAGGCTACCTAGAATCTCAGCAAGTCTGAGAATCAAAATTTATCTTTCAAGGTTTTACAGCACTAGACTTAATACTCTAAAAGTACATTGTGAGAGAACATTAGATACACTCCTTCCTTATAAGGTGTATTTCTAGTGTTTAACCATGTACTGTCTATGTTCCACAATAACTAGGCATTGCATTTCTGCTAACTGAAAACAGCTAAAGTCAGCAGCCACTTCTGAGTCTTCTAACTCAGTGCAACTCAGATGCACCAAACCCAGGATCATGCCACTACTGTGCAGAATGTCTTCCCTTGGTGTTCAGCCATCACCTCCTCCTGCTTCTCTTCTGTCTGCCATCCCTCCTGTGCATTGTCGACAGCCCAGTTCATATCCAGAGTGCTGCCTCTTGAGGTTCCACAGCACTGCATCCTCCTGAGCCTCTCAGACTGTTTGCCCGACCTCACATGCCACCCTCAGTCCTCTCTCTCAAGTGGCCCTGTTGAGAAGCAGGGCAGCTGGCAGGCCTAGCCATGGCCGAGGACATACACCCATTTTGTTTAGGTGCTCCACAAAGGCTAGCTTCATTATAGACTGATGTCTAGAAGCAGAGTGGCAAGCAGTGGGAGTAACACATCAGGCTTTGCCTCTCAATCAAAAGGAGAGGGGCCCAGCGATGACTCACTTATGCTGCCCTAGATAACCCTGCTGTCCCTGGATAACTGTGCCATCCCCTGCTTCCACCTTGGTCTTCCTTTCTACCTCAAATGTACGAATGCTTCATGTTATCTTCAACCAGACATTGTTCTTTAAAAGAATCCATTTTTTTGTTGAATAATTACAGGCCTCTATAGTATAGACACACTTGCTAATGAAAAAAAAATATGAAAAAAAAAAAGCCAGCCTCAGCCCACAAACTGTAATTTGGCCTTTTAAAGCTCAGTGTTTTGTTGGTGTTTTATTTTGTTTTTCATTGTGAGGGCTTTTTGTTAAAAAATACAATTAAGAGGAATTATGTGTAGTCACCTGTATCCAATTGGTTTTACTGGTCAGGGCCTGGAAATAATGAGATTTATTCAAAGGATTTAATTCCCACGCAAAGCAGTTAGCTTCACTTATCACTTCTAGGTACTCTACCCTTCCCCAGGCCAACTATGTCCCAAGGCATCAGAGTAAAAATCACTACAAGCATCATTACAACCTGAAAATCAATGAGTATTAACTACACTGCTTCACTAAACATCTTCATATGTAGACAAACAATTGTAAGATAAATTATATACATTCCTGAATGTCTTCAATAAGATTATTTGTAAATTTGACGGGGCATAACACCTGTGATCCCTGCACTCAGGAGGCAGAGAACCTGTGAGTTTGAAAAGGCCAGCCTGGTCTACATAGTGAGTTCCAGGACAACCAGGGCCATGTAGTGGAAACCTGCCTCTAAGAACAAAACAAGAAAATCAAACAAACAAAAGATTATTTATAATATGATGAGGAATACTTGATTGTTACTTTGAAATTAAAGTAATATCAAAAATAATGTTACCTGTTTCCAAAATCACTAATGTTTTGCTTTGAAATATGAATAAAAAATGTTCCCTTTTATCATTGGGAATGCTTGGCTCAAATAAATAAAATACCCAATATAAAGATCTGTAATTCTTCATAAGCATTTCAGATGGTTCTCAGTATCAAGGAATAGGTAGAAAGTGCTAATTTAATACTTACCGAGTCCTGCTTTTAATTATGTTCTTGAGTTGGGTCTATCGTTAGAGAAATAATGTTCAACTGCCATGTTCCTGAGCTTTGTCTACCATTAGGGAAATAGTGTTCAAGTGCCAACTACTTGGTAGCAACCAGGATATAGGCATGAGACAGACAATGCTCAGTTTATAACCTGAGCCCCGTGACATGACTTCCTATTCTGAACTATATGCCAAGGTACTTTTTAAATCAACTTAGCTGTTTTACAGACATTGTCCATGTCAGGTATTTGTTAGAGAAACTTGCAAAGTTGTGTAGAAAATAAGTAAATGAAATTTAATTGTCCTAGGCTGTCACTATTATTGCCTTTTTGATAACTGCAGCCAGTCTCCAGACGTTAGCATCTGATCTCAAAGGAAACACAACTTCTCCACAATATGCAACCAGCTGCTCTCAACCGTACCTCTGGTATTAGAAAGCTGAAGTTAAACATTCTGATGTTACAAAGAAAAATACATGACTTCAAACCACATATGTTTAATGCCCACACAGGGCCTGTTATGCCATAATATTTTTATTTTTGTTTTGGAAGCAAGCAGGCGATTTCTCAAATGCCAACCCTTTCAATACAGCTACTAACACATATGAGAATGACTGAACAGTGTATTCACAAACTGAGTTTTCACAAACTGTGTACTCAAATCTACACTGTGAAATTCTGTGTTTCCAAATGAGTTGGGCAGCAAACACGTTCACATGTAAACTAGTTTGAAAATCTGTTTCTATCAAACATGTTCACTCATTGAAAAATATCTCACCACACAAAGGTCAGGAAACCAAGACAATGCAAGGAGCAGTTAATTAGAGAGCCTCTCTCCAAGAATCTGTCTGTAACTCAGAAGTAATTAAGAAACAGTAAGTGCTACTGAGATTTATCCAACACTAGTATAAAACCTCACATTTTTCTATAACAAACTAGTTCTTTTCAAGGAGTACAGTTTTTATTCATTTAAAGTGTATTAGTACCAACATAAATAGTCATTTAAGGTTTTATTTCACTCAATCTTTAAAGTCCTCACAAATTTCAATATGTGATAACTTGACTTAACTAGGCTTTAAATTAATAGAATAGAAATAAACAAGAATTAAATTTAAAAACAAGAATAAAGTTGATCCTAATTCTAAGAGATCTCATTCAAAGAAAGAAATAATGCATCATGGGTATGCAGCTGAGTCCTCCCTCTCAGAGGTAGTTTCCTATGATGAATATGAAGAAAAAGAAACAGTCACCAAGAATGATTTAAAGTAAGGAGCAGCAGAAGTGAAAAGCATGCGAACAGACTTGTTGGAGCTTACCTTTCTCTCTCTCCTTCAGTGAGATCATATACGTGGTTGGCACCTCCATCAGCACAGGCTCTTAAGAGAGCTTCAAACAAAAAGAGTACAAATCATGTCAGTAAAGATGGCCAAGCACAGTCTCTGGTATGAGCATCACTAAAAAGCAAACATTCAGAACACACTGCCACACTACCCTGGGTCATGACTTTACCTTACAATATGTCCGTTGTTACTGCAAGTGACTCTACATAGGAAACCAGAACCACCCACAGACTCTCTGCATCTTCTCCAGGCCCTCAGAAGCGAAGTGGAGATGGTGTGGTGCTACCCTGTTCTACATTTGTTTTCCTCTTTTATTACAGAGGCTGGATTTGGGCTTATGAAGGCAGCTTCGGCCAGTCAGTTGCTCTGACTATATTAACATGCTGGCATTGAACTTCCACTGGGAACAGTGGTACTTTCAAGTATCAGACTGTCTCATTGCTCTGTGCCTCCTTTGTCTTCTCTCTGGAAACAATGAAGACAATCCTTTTCTCTGATGTTCTGAACGTCAAAATTATGCCTAAGCAAACGGTGCTTTCCAAAGCTGAGGAAGCGTCTCTCATGTCCTGATGACTCTAAGTCATATTAACACAATTACTTCTTGTCGTCCTTTTTGTCTCTGGGAATTTCCCTGAAACATTTCTGTGGACAGTCTTACCTGAACTCAGCCTTTCTCCAAATGTTTCATTCTTGTCTTCCTTCTGTATGTGACATTCCTTCAACTCTCTTTCAATTTATAAAACCTCTCTTCAATTATGTCAATATCAATATTATGTTAATAATTGTATGTTAATATTAGTTAAGATTACTGTTTTTAAACTATTAAATCAATTTTCAAGAAAGGACCTTTAAGACAATTTGTTGCTACTTTTTAGTACTCCTTTTTCAAAAAAAATTAAAATGAGATAAAACAAAAACACATTGGATTTGGACAAAAACAAAGAAAAAATTTAAAAAGCCCCAGGGAAGGCAAAGGCCCACTTGTCCTCACACTTAGGAATTCCATTACAAACACTAAGCTGGAAGCCATAATATATATGTAGAAAGGCTTTGTGTATGATGCCTGGGTGTCTGAGAGTTCATGTGAGATTTGATCAGGTTGATGTAGAGAGCCTTGGCCTCACTTACTTTTTTTTTTTTTTTTAAATCCTTGCCCTAGGAGTTAAGATTGAACTACTTTTTTATCCTATAGAGTAGGAATGGTTGCAAAATATTGATGATTTAACAGGATATCGTGGCAATTTCTTTACCTTTAACAGACCAAGGTCTTGTCTTCCGCCCCTACAAAACTATTAGGATCAAAACTACTAAGTACATTAGTTCCTTTTTCATTGTAGATTTATATAAGAGTAATCAGTAGTAATGATGCCACAGCCCCAAATTTATGCCATCTGAAAATTTCCTCAACCAAAGACGTTAGTCCATTACTTTCTAATTTAGTCTCAAGCAAGTGGCAGAATATAGCCAGATTGTTTTTTCAAAATATTTCATGAATAGCTTGTATCCTAATTGCTAATAGAGTCTTTATTCCTATCTGCAGGTTTCCACTGTCTGTATTACTCTCCACAGCATTGTCTTTCAGGCTCCAAATAGAACAGCCCATTAAGTTCCATTCTACTGCTTTCCTAGTCCAAAGTTTCAATGTCTTCCACACTAAGTCATTAGCATGAGCAAAAGGCCCAAGATAGGAAAGCTTCAGAAAAAACAAACTACTCTGTTGACCTACTTCTTCATCTTAAAACCATCCTATCACCTTTGTATGTGTAGATTTACCTATATATTTAAGAAGATTTAGAACATTCAACTCTAATTTTGATATGTTAACATCGGGAGAAAGAATGTAATAGATATCTAACATACTCTATGGACAGACAGAAAAGTCCATCAAAGTCTATTTTCTCTGTGATCCCTGACATATATGAAACAAAATCAGGCTAAAGGGGTAAAACACTTAAGTTTTAGCTTGAGGTTCTTCACTATAGTGTAGGGCCATTAAACAATTAGTAATTTAATACTGACATCTAGTAACAACATAGGAACACACTGGGCATTCAATAAACAGTCTTCTCTGCTTTATGTTAAAATTTTAAAAGTATGAGAAGTTTATATTCTTAAAAAGAATAGCCCAAGCTACCACACAACTCAGAGAGATGGCTAGTTTCATTAACCACCCTAAACACTTTACAATGACTGGAACCCAGAATTCTATTATGCTATGAATATAACAGAAGTTCACAGAATTTGTGGCACATTTCCTACATATCAAAGTCATCATCAGTGAAGAGGGAGAAATGAACTTACATAAAATAGCAAAACATCACTGATTGGGGAGCATAAAAAGACTGATTAATAGAAACAGATGGTAAACGATCAGTAATTACCCTCAGAGTATAAAAAGTAATTCTCCATAAACAAAATTAACAAGTATATGAGATCTTTTATGTAAAAATTTATTTACTAAAGCAATATAAAATGTAACAAATAGTGTTTAATTGGTAAAAATTAACAAGCATAATGATATCAATTTCCATACTATATTACATAGTAAAGATCAGCTGAATTCAACATTTAAGTCTTTTTAAGAGCCAGGGGTAAAGATATGTGATAGAGTGCTGACCTAGCATTTGTGAGGCATGGTTTTGTTCCTAGTGATATCATACACAAACAAAAAACAAACAAAAACCGGTACATTTTTCATTTGGTAGGCAACCAAGCACATGCTGCTGGGGAAGAGAATTGAGTGAAAAGCAAAGGTATGTAAGTCCTCTACACTAACAAAAGCTTCATTTGCAATGAGCAGACAGAGGCAGCATCAAAGGAAGAGACACATAAAGGAACTCAACACACCCAGCTCTGCTAAAATTCCCTTTGTTTTTCAATCAAAAAAATTAAAGACTTATTATTTCTAACATATTTTATGTTAGATTTAGGGAAGTTTATGAAAAGACAAACACTTAGTAACTAAATTTATTTATATTACCAAGGTTATAAAACTGAGTTAAAATAATAACTAAGGAAATGTACAGTCTTGTTACACATAAGTTAGAAATGGGGATTTATTCCTTCTGAAGGGAAAAAAATTCACTTTGAAAACAATTTGGTTCCCATAAGGTACCCTAAAAACGCTCTTTACTTCTTTTAAATTTTATTCACAAAAATATTTTCCAATTATATAAAAAATTAAATTCAAAAGAAAATATTTGTAGAATATAGCAAGCAATGCTGGCACAGGTTCACGCAAGGCCACCTGCCACATGTGTAACCAGGAAGGGAACGACTGTAACAGAAGCAGAAGGGGACGGCATGCTAAAGGAACAGTCAGATAAATCACAATAAATTGGTCTCAAAATGTTCATTCGTCATAATTTAAATTGTCCTAAGCATTACTGCATGAGTTAGCTCTTAACGTAAAATGTCCGTTCGCTTATACAGGAAAATTTTTGCAGATTGTCTAGTAATGGTTGAACAATCATTTACTACGCTTCAGGCTGATAAACATCTGAAAACTAAAACTCAATAAAAACCACTGGAGCAACTTTTCTATCTCAGCAGCTCTGGTATATTAAAGATATTTTTAAGTGCTGGTTTTTAACTCAGCATTTAGCAATATTAACAAAAAAAGAACTGCACTCACAGTTACGGGTAAATTGGCGCTTTCAAAATCTTCTGTCGAATAAAACTGAAGAGAAGTAATTGCACTTACTGCAAAGTATACTATTAAAATAATTCCACATATTTATATGGAAAAAAAGAAAGAGAAGAGGAGGAGAGGAAGAAAAGAAAATGTTGCCGTTTCAGTTACTTTAAATCACTGGAGTTCAATTTTGGTCCCAGTATCTATGGACACTGACTAACACAATGATTTTAAGCTAATCCCTACAACTCAGATTCTAATGGAAAAACCACCAAAGTTACTGCGGTGTATGCCACCAAATTAACATAAGAATCCAGAAATGGCAGAAAGACAGTGTACCTAAAGCAAGAAGGGAGGTGCAGAGGAAGATGAGCTAACTTGTACAGACAACTCTGTACATTTACGGTATTTTAAAATGTGCTTCCCGATTGATGCAGAAATTCAATACAGACAACATAATTACGTGTTGAGATTGACAGGATGGTAAGCATAAGGATAATTGCTGTTGCATTCATGTAATAATAGAAAAGGCTGCAGCAGGCACACATGACTGACATGTAAGTATTGGTAGCTATACAATACTCCTCATATTCTCCCACTAAGAAAGTTGTTTTTATATCCACTAGTATGCTACTTGTTTGAATCTGTCATCTTCCAGAATGAGCCTCCTACACTATAGGATTACAGGAACATGTCACTACATTTGGTTTTAGTAATTTTTTTTATCTTTAATCTTTTTTTACAGTCCCGTCATTATCCCCCTCCTGTTCATTCTGCCTTCCTACAGTTCCTCATCCCATTTTTGTCCCTAAAGTTCTTTTAGACAGAAACAATTCTGACTGTGGGATAGCAACCCCATCCCTCCAGTTGATGCCCTTTCTACTGGAGGTGGATTCTACAAGTTCCCTCTCTCCACTGTTGGGGATTCCATCTAAGGTCTCTCCCTCTGAGTCCTGAGAATCTCTCACCTCCTATGTCTCTGGTACATTCTAGAGGGTCCCCTACATCCCACCTACTGAGGCTGTCTATTTCCATTAACTCTGCTGGCCCTCAGGGCTTCACTCCTGGTACTCCCAATACCTGATCATGTTCCCCTTTTCCCCTTTTTCTCTCACACCCAGTTCCCTCATTCCCTCTGTCCTCTGCTTTCTTCTCCCTCTCAAGTGGGATTGAAGCATCCTCACTTGGGCCCTTTGGCTTGTTAACCTTCTTGAGTTCTGTGGATTGTATCTGTATTCTGTACTGTGTGGGTACTAAGAATTGAACCCAGATCCTCTGCAAGAGTAGTCAATGGTCTTAACTGCTGAACCATCTCTCTTGCTTCCTAATATATTATTTTATGTGATAAATTCTTTTAAAAAGTGTACTTCTTGTTTAGGTCTTCTAGTAAATAGCAACTCAGAAAGTATATA